TAGGCAGCGGCGGTTCTCATGGCGAAGATCAGGGAGCTGAGACCTTGCAAAGGCTAGCGTTGAGAGCTTCGGAGCAACAAATGGATCTCAGATTCCAACGTTTAGAACAACTCTTTGAAGAAATTGCAAATCAACTTGATGCTTTAAGCAAAGATGCCAACAAAAATCAGAATGATGAGAGGCAACATACTAGAGATGATATGGCTCATGGACAGCCTGTTGGAAGACTAGTTTTTGCAAACAGGCGTAGATAGCAAGTTTATGTGGAAGATTCGAACGAAAAAGATGATTATTTTGCAAATTTTGGGAGGGAAGTGATTATGGGGATAGAGATACCAACGAATTCAAATTAAAGGTAGATGTTCCTTGCTTTAATGGTAATTTAAATATTGAAGACTTTCTGGATTGGATTGCGGAAATAGATAGGTTTTTCGAATATACAGAGATTCCAGAAAGAAGAAGGGTGAGACTTGTTACGTGCAGATTGAAGGGTGGAGCTTTTGCATGGTGGGAAAGATTACAATCCATAAGATTTTGCGAGGGGAAAACACCAATTAAAACCTGGTACAGGATGAAACACTTGTTACAAAGGGATTTTCTTCCTCCTGATTATAAGCAAATCTTGTTCTAGTAGTATTAGAGATGCCATTAGGGTCAAAGATCTATCCGAAAATATATTGTTGAATATCGACGATTGTTACTCCACCTTGACTATAATGAACATCCATATATAGTAGCTTTAAGATTCTTTAATGGGTTGAATGTAAACATATGAGCTTAAATTGATTTACGACTTGACTATACATTGCTTGATGTTCTTCAGTTAGCCTTTGATGTAGAATCACAATTAAGAATTAAAAAAAAGAATTCTTCTTCAGACACTACATGCCTTACCAATTATGGAAGAAGACAAGAAGCATAAAGCACTTCTTAAAGAAATTCTTAAAGCCAACGAAAATTATGAGATGTTACAAATTGAGGATCACACAAAAAAGGAGATTGAGCATGAAATAGACGTTGAAGCTGAACGAGTTCTCCAAGAAGAGAAGATTGAACAAGAGCAAAAGCAAGTTGTCCTAAAGGAGAAGCTTGAGCAAAAGCAAGTTGTCCTAAAGGAGAAGCTAGAGCAAGAAGAAAACATTCAAGTTAAGGATCAAAAGGATGAAACATCGACGACGACATTCAATTTCGACCTAAAGACTATAGTGCATGACAACTCTCCTAGGAAGATGAATGACAAAGGATATTTATTTGCTCCAAAGGAGGACTTATTACTCTACTTCGAGTATCACCCAACAGATTGAAACTCGAGGACACGTTTATTTTTAAGAGAGGGAGTATGATGTTGCAAAATAGTGTTAAATTAGGCTTTAATTTTGTTTCTCTTTCTTTATTTGATTAGGGTTTCATATTAGCAATTCAAGTAGTTTTCTATTTTAATTAGGAGTTTAGTTGATTTAAGAAGTTTTAATTTAGTTAAATTTTAATTTCTTATTTTATAATTAGTCAATAATTAGAATTTTATTTCCTTATTTAATTGGGAGCCTTGTTAGGTTGGTCACCCTATATTAACTTATTATTCATTTCTTTTGAAAAGATATAATATCGAATGAATTTTTCAGATTTAAGGCTTAAGTTTCTGTGATTGAGACTTGTTTATCAGTTCTAAAGGTATAGTTGAGTGCTATTCTTGTTGTTACGCTAACTCGCTGCGTCAAGATTTTCAGTTAGGTAATCAACAATGATGTTGATTGTAAAGATAGAGAAGCAAACATTATAGATAGGGGTAAGCGGTTCCAGGTACCACTCATCAAAATTTCTAAAACCGAAACTGAAACTAGAACCGACTGGTTCCTAGCAAAAAGAACCGAAACGTGAAATGTAGGTTTTGGTTCCTTTCTTGGATATCCTATAAAATTATAATTACCCCCTATTAATTTTTAAATGACAAATGTACCCTAAAAAATTACAAATACACCTCTGGCAGTCACAAAATTCACACATATATGATAAGAGTTTGAAAATACACATTTACGTAGTGGTTTATGGGGATTATTTGTGAGAAATTAGGTTTAATTTTGTAAAGTTGCTTAATATTTTCATAATTGTCTTCTATGGGATCACAGGTGTGTTTGAGTGTTTTTTAGGTTATTAGTGCTAAATGTTATGCTCAGATGAAGAATCATATCGACAACAGAATGAGTGATGAGTAGAAACAAACAGATCAAGATTCGGTGTTGAATTGAAGAAGTTATGCTTTTAACAATATCTCAAGCTATAGACCTCGGATTAAGACAATTCTTCAACTGATGGAAAGCTTATTCAAAGGGCTACATTTCATATGTTTACCACTTCTTTAGATTTCATCGTTATCATGCTAAAAAATCACCATCTATGGAGTGTTGATGAATGATGCGAGATTTGAATTAAAGGAGAAGAAGTTATCACTATGCCGTAGCACACTTTGTCTAGAATCGACCGTGCCACAGCACAATGCTGGGGCACAGTCACGACAGTTAGGAATTTTTCTTCCGTTTTTTATTAGAAAAATAGGGTTAAGAGTCCTAAACTAAATAGAATTAAGGAAAATAAAACCCTAACCCTTGTGGGATATAAATAGAAGTCTTTTAGCATTATTTTAGGGATTCTTGGGAGAGAATAAGAGAAGAAAAATTTGTAGAGAAGAAAATGATAGAATTTATAGAGCTTTGATTCACGATATAGGGAAGTTCTTCTTGTTTTTTTTTCTTACAAACTCATGTTGATTATTTTAATAAAGATGATTGTTTCTTTCATGTTTATTATGAACTAATTTTATTTTCGAGGGCTAAGATTTAGCTTAATCTCTTGATTATGTGTTGATTTATGTATGTTGATTTTCATTAAGATTTCTTCCTAAGTTTTATTATTATGCCTAATGCTTTTGATTCTCAAGGGCCCAAGAATTGAATGAATTAATGGACTAAGTTGAGATTGAGAGATGATACTTAGTTGGTCTACGGCAGTAAAACCACAGGTTGAGCGAACACAGGAGATAGGTTACCGCAACTTATGAGGTTCTGGTAAACTCCATATAACGTAATGATCTCCAATTGCTTAAATCTGATTAGAGATAATTCGGGTTAGTAATTAGGAGTTAATTTGATAATTGTTCGAGAGAAATATATTGGAAATTTAGGTAGTTTGACCTTTAGGAAAAGCTTAATAAAATTAACATAAGTGATCAATACATATGAATAATAGTTGGTGTGAAATTTATGTCCTAGGTCTAGTCATCTTGCTTTAAACCCAAAGATTTATTTAGTTGTTTTCTTTTTAGTTTTCTTTTAATTTCAATTGTTAATTTAATTTAGATTTTCCTTGATAAAAAATGTGATTAATCAAATAGTAAATAGATAGTAAATTTTGGTAATTGATAGTAGTAATTCCCTTGGGTTCGACATCCGTATTCTTACACTTTATTACTTGCATGATTTTGTAAACTTGCGAAAATCTACATCAATATACCCCACAGTTCCTAAACCAGTTCCTAGCAGGGTACCTGAATGTAGGTTTCGGTTATAGTTCTCGGTTCCAACACTGCAGGAACTAGACCCGAGAATTCTCGGTTCTAATTTTCCAGAATCGGATCTGCTCGTTCCGGGCTACCCTTTACCTATGCTCACCCCTTCTTGTAGAGGTGGCATCTAGTGCTGGTGGATCTAGTAAATTATCGTTGAGGGGTCGAGTGTAATGTTGAACTAATAAGGGGATTAAACTAGAAGGAGTCTTTAGAAAATTGCAATTAAGAGGGTCAAACTGTAGTGTTCAACAAATAAAAGGGGTAAAGAAAACAATGAAGCTTAAGAGATGAAATTGATACATAAATTTTTTTTAAAAATAAAAAATTGTGGGAGGGGTAAGTCCATCACCAATAGCATAAATTCATTAGGATGTGATATGTAACACAATGATATTTTTTATTTTTTCACCTTTATAATATAAATCTTGTCTAGTTATAAGAAATCAAGTAAATAAGTTTACAAGGAATTATAGGGGATTAATGTCGACTTCCAAGCATGTGGTGATGAATAATTCTGTTAACCACATTAGCAGCGTGTTATTGTAGAATTAATTAATTGTTATCATAACATGTTAATAATACTGCCGATTTGATGAAAACCATTAAATAATTTTGTGTATTTATTGGTCTACGTCAATGGCATGAATCATGATCCTCATTAATCCCTGTGTGACCATTCATGTTCGATTTTTGTGCAAATTGCTTTGAACTTACCTGATTTCAAGCTCAGTCTACGCCATGCCCAAATCATTGCGGATTTCATGGCATCCACTATGGTTAACTGGGGACCCTCCACACACTGACTCAAAGAAAACAGCCCCTACCAAATTTCAATTTCCTTTCAAAAATGAACATAGTTCAATGATGTTGACCCTTTTATGTACCAAACTTGATTCAGGTAAGTACTGATTAATCATCTAATGCTCTAATTTGTCAAATTATATGTGATTATGATATATACCCCACAAATGGTCGAAGGAGTAAAGTGGAAGCCAACAGTCACCATGCCATGGTGGCTGAATTAGACTGTTTGGATTCATGTTTCTATTTTTTAATAGGGGTGTTCAAACGACTTGTATGTAACTTAACTAATCATCAGATTCATTGAACATCTCAAACATTGTGATAGTAGTCTCAAGGTTTGAACTAAAAAACTAAAAAAAGAGAACAAATCTCCTTAACCGTTAGATCAAAGTTTAAGGTTATTTGAATTCATGTTTCACACCACTGAAAATAAACATAACACTAATTTTGTTAAATGTCGAATAAAATGTTATTGTTTTGGGTCATTCAATTTGTGTTTGCCGAATCAGAGTAAGTGATATTGTTGGATCTGTACAATAAAAAATTTGTCGGGAATCTTTTCAACAAGTGCATTTGCTACTTGCTAGATTCATTCAAAGCCTCACCTCCACTTATATTGCTTTTCTCATCTCTTAAACGAGCCCAGCGTGAGTGAAGTAAATAAAACCCGCTTCTCTACCCACCTCTCTTTATTTTTCCTCTTATAAAAACCCCCATCAGACAACGCACCATTATCATTATCCTTCTCAAATGGCCAAAATGTGGCTTCTTCTTCATCTTTTTATCTCTACTCTCTTCTTCACTTCACCCTTTGTTCACTCCCGAACCACTCCACAGACCTACAAAACCTCCGTTCTTGATGTCTCAGCTTCCGTTCAAAACACTCTCAATGTTCTCTCCGTTCATCCCAAACCCACACAAGCCTTTTCAGCGCAAGAGCAGAGCTTAGGCTCGATAGACTCGGCTTCTTCCAAGCTTTCCATGCAGTTACAACCAAGAACTTCGGTTCAGGGAACTTCACACACTGACTACAAGTCACTCACTTTAGCCCGACTCAAGCGTGACTCGGCCCGAGTCAGATCTCTCTCAACTCGGTTAGATCTGGCCATTAAACGCATCTCCAGGTCGGATCTTAAACCATTAGACAATGGCTTGGAATTCCAAGCTGAGGATCTAGAAGGTCCCATTGTGTCGGGAACGAGTCAAGGAAGTGGGGAGTACTTTTCCCGAATTGGAATCGGTAACCCGCCGAGTCAGGTGTATATGGTGCTCGACACCGGAAGTGACGTCAACTGGTTACAGTGCGCACCCTGCTCCGACTGCTACCAGCAAGCCGACCCCGTTTTTGAGCCGGCTTCCTCGTCTTCCTACGCTCCTCTCACGTGTGACACCAAACAATGCAAGTCCCTCGACGAGTCCGAGTGTCGCAACGGCACGTGTCTTTATGAAGTATCTTACGGAGATGGTTCGTACACTGTCGGGGATTTAGTCACTGAAACTATCACGTTGGGCTCGGCTAAGGTTCATAATGTAGCCATTGGCTGCGGTCACAATAATGAGGGGCTATTTATCGGAGCCGCCGGCTTACTTGGACTGGGAGGCGGCTCGCTTTCTTTTCCTTCTCAGATTAACGCGACTTCTTTCTCTTATTGTCTCGTCGACCGCGATTCTGACTCAGCGTCAACTCTCGAGTTCGACGCGCCGTTACCTCATAACGCCGTTACTACACCTTTGCTCCGTAACCCCGAACTGGACACATTTTATTATCTCGGTGTAACGGGACTCAGTGTGGGCGGTGAGTTACTCTCGGTTCCCGAGTCTGCATTCAAAATAGACGAGACAGGTAACGGAGGGATAATTATCGACTCGGGAACGGCAATAACTCGGTTGCAAACGGACACGTATAACGCGTTACGGGATGCGTTTGTTAAAGGAACGCAGGATTTGGTGTCAACTAGTGGTGTGTCGTTATTCGACACGTGCTATGATATGTCGTCTAAGAGTAGCGTTGAGGTGCCTACGGTGTCGTTTCATTTTGCAGATGGGAAAGCGTTACCGTTACCACCGAAGAATTATTTAATACCGGTTGACTCAAGTGGAACGTTTTGTTTCGCGTTTGCTCCTACGACGTCGTCGTTATCAATCATTGGGAACGTGCAGCAGCAGGGGACACGTGTCAGTTTCGATCTTGTCAAGTCTCTAGCTGGGTTCTCACCAAATAAATGTTGAGAACAGTAGTTTACATTTTGTGACGGTTTTACCCTTGGTCAAGAGGGATATTAACCATTTTGGAGTAATGGTCAAATGTCAATGGATGGAGTGTAGGCCCACTTTGAATCAGTGTAAGGAGACGAGTGGGGACCACTCGAGTGCTTATGTTATTTTTGGAAGGTAGTGGCATGTAAAGTAAATTAATTATGTGTGTTGGGTTACTTATGACTGGAATGGATATAGCCGTTACGCCCTTAATATAATGTGAAAGGCAAAGATAATTGGAGTGAAGTAAATTACAATGCAAAAAAAGATGTATGTGAGTTTGCACTAATCCACGGCTTTATGTTTTTTTTTTTTTTTAATTTTTTTTATAAGAATGTTCAAGTTATGAGTTTGATAACATAGGTTCGGACTTCAGTGCTTTTGAGAAGGGTTGATTTGATTCAACCCATGTGATTTGATAACTTTATGTGTGGGGCAGATGTTTATGAGCAATTTAGTTTATAAGTTTTTATGGGTTGGTAGGAAGGAACAGTTCCACATGCACTTTTGATGCATTGTGCGTCCAAGGCATGTAATTTTGACCTTCTAATCGTATGATGAAGATTGATTTAGCGATTTTTTTAAGTAAGATTAAGAAAGCTATCGGTTCTTCTAGATAAAGTTGGGTGGATTAAAAGTGAGGCTTTGATTCTTTATCAACCCAAAAGATGTCTTTAATGGAGACATTGCCACCATTAAATAAACAAAAGATTACAAATAAAGCTATATGATGTCTATACTTTTTATCCAAAGATTGGCTTCCTTTGCGTTGGACGGACATTTCTTTTTTCTTTCCCAGTAATATAATATTGTCTTTGTTTAATATCATTTGGGCTCCCATTGTTGCAGCTGAAAGTGAAGACTGGGCTTTTGACTGCAAAACCCATCCCATTTATTTACTTCCTTTCAAGTTCAAAACCATGCTTTCCGTTATTGATTGTTGATGACCTCCCCTCCCCAACTTCATTGCATTTCCAAACACTTCTAAGTTCTAACTTTAGCTATGGCTGCCTCGCCAATTCTATCAGGGGGATTTCTTTAAACTTGAGATTAATTTGATAAAAGTTTTTGGGACGGAGAATGTCTACTGGTAGAGAATGTGAGATAAGTTTGAATCAACAAAGAGAAGATTTGGGATTGAAATAAACCTCACCAGACGCATCTTACAAGTTACAACACCATTCCCAATCGGTACTATGATAATAGAAAAGTGGGAAATACTTAAACATCAATTAATTGATTAATGTACAAATAAATGTACACGTAAAACTATCCATGAATTGGTGGTTTTAAGTGGGATTTTGAAAAGTTCAAATGGGTGTCACTTGAATAACTATTGGGTGCTTGTTTACTATTTTCTACCATATTTTCATAGTAAATGTTTGTTTTATTATTCACAAAACACAATCTTCAAAATTTGATTCTTAATCATGACAATTATTTGTCTTAATATGCTAACATTTTGTAATGCTTTCTCTTTTTCTTTCTTCACTTTTTTGTCTTTCTTCTTATTCTGTCTTCACTCTTCACCACGGTCACAAAGGATCTTCCTCTCAATTCCAAAATCTATTTCCAAACAATCTCACCTGAATTAGAAAACAAACCCAAGATCTTGTAGCTCTCCTTCCCAAGATCTCTCTCCAAAAGCGCCATATAAATTAAATATGTTTCATCCATGCACATTGTCTGTATTCCACCACCATCATCAGGAATCTCTCTTCCTCCTCCATGACTGTTGAACCTCTTGCAACGCCCACACACTTCGGCGTTGAACCACCACCATCGCACAATCTTCAAGATCCACCACCATCGTGGCCATCCTCCTCCAACCCCAGACCATCGGCTTCCACCACCACTCATCACTGTCATGCTATCTTCTAAACACACCACCGTTCAAGATCTGCCATTGCCCAGACGTTTCGGGCTTTAGGTCCACCATCGCACGATCTTGAACAGCCACCACCATCGTCGGCCACTACAATTTATTCAACTCTATATAATACTTAAATACTTATCAAACATCAAACATATTATCGTAGGCTGCGTTTGGTTGAAATTTGGGGGTTTTGGGAAAAGTTTTTTGAAAAAAGTTAAAAAAAGTGAATTTGGGCGGGTATTACGAGGAAAATTTATAAATTAATAATCTCCTTTATGTTTGTTTTTACAAATACCCCCTATAATAAAACATTAAAAGTTAACAAAATACCCCTAACCCACCCTCAAACACCCCCAGCCGGCGACCACCACCGGAGGTGGCCGGAGTCGCCGTATGGCGCATGACCGGTTGGATCTTGCGGTCATGCGTCGCTATGGCCTTTTCCGGCCAGATCCACGGTGGATCTGGCCGGAAAAGGCCAATCTACGGTCAGATCTGGCCGTCAACGGCCAGATTGGCCGTCAACGGCCAGATCTGGCGTATTTACTCTCAACGACGGCCAACAAACGGTCGCGTTGATGGTCAACGACGACCGTTGTGTGGCCGTCGTGACCGAGTGTTACGGCCAAGATCTGGGCCGTCAACGGCCAGATTTTGGCCTTAGATCTGGCTTTTCCGGCCAGATCCACGTGGATTGGCCGGAAAAGGCTAGATCGGCGCATCGCCGGCCAGATCAGCCGGTAGTGCGCCATTCACCACAATTCGGCCATTTTCCGGTGGTAGTGGCCAGAATCTGGTAATTTGGATTATTGGGGTGTTTTTGTAATTTTAAAAAAATATTTAGGGGTATTTAATTAAATTATCAAATTTAAAGGGTTTAAAAAAAGTTGAATAATTTTGGGAGGAATATTCTCAAAAATCTGAAATTTTGGGTAATTTACTGTTTAACTTTTTTGGGAATACTAAAAGTAGTATTCCCAAAAGTTTACCAACGCAGCCGTAATAATAACAAACTAAATACTCTACCAAACACATTTTTTTTTAAATCCTATTCTCAAATAATAACTCAATTTTACAATAATATTTAAAAACATTACTTAAAATAACTAAACAAAAGCACTCACATAATCTTAAACAAGTTATATTTAATTAAAATTTCTTAATAACTATTCGTCATGCCTAAATTTATTTATATCTAAAGTATGTTCTTTAATTCTACAAAGTGTTTGGGGCTGTTATGTTTTCAATAGTATATTTAATTTAGTTTAGATAGACTTTGCATAAATAATTTTTAATTAGAATGTAATTAATTTTATAGTGATAGAGTTATAATATAAATTTGTGAAAGTTTAATATATATTAGGATTATCTTAATATTTGTGGTTAATTTTAAAACCCCGCGCATTTCGTGGAGTGGGAAGAAGCCTCTGCTGCTTATAAAATACAACCTGACATTAAATAAGAAAAGAGCAAACTACATGTTCACACCCCAGTTTAAGCGAAATTCAAGGTTTTACCCTGGTTTCAAAATTATAGATTCCTACCTTAAATTATCACGATTGCGATTTTTTGGGTTCTGACAGTATAGATAGTGATATCAAATTGCCCTTAAAAATAAATTACAAAATAATTTTAACCCCTAGATTTTGGCCATCCGAAACTCTTTCTAGATTTTGGCCCCCACCGCCCTATTGGGTGCAAAGAAAGGCCGGTGGTAGGCAAATGGTGAGTGAGCGAAGCTGATGTGGGGGTGGGTTTTGAAGAGGAGAGAAGGGGGGTCGAATGGAGGTGTTTGGATGAATTTCCAATGAGTGAGGCGATCGGAAAATGGCTGCAAAAATGGAGGTTTGCGAAGTTGAAAATCACCGCTAAAAGTCTACAACAATCAAAAGGAGATGGAGGTTGGCTGGGCAATTCGTCGAGCACCTGGTGTGCACCAACGAAGATGAGTGAATGGTGGTGATAGGTGGATTTCCGACAAAAAACAAGCACCAAAGACTCCAATAGACAACCAAACAACAACCAAAACTTCAAGCATCAAAAACTGTTCAGTCAACATCCAATTCCGACAACACCACACAAACCCTAGGCGAAGTGGTGGATGGCAAACAGTGCGGTCGTGGTCGGGGGGAGTGAAACCGTGGTCGTGGTTGGGGTTTTCGCTGCTCAAAATGGTCGGAACCGCAAAAATGGTTGCACGACGTGGCTCTCGTGGCGCGATCGGTGAAAGAGAGGGGGTGGTGAGGGTGAGGATGAGAGGGGTTTTGTGAGGAAAGGTGGGAAGCTGGAAGTGGAGTGTGGTGATGAACGGCAACAGAATCAAGTCAAACTGGCGATTGTGAAGGTGGAGGTGAGTTGTGGAAGGTGATGAATTCGGCCAAAAACCGGGGTGGAAACATAATTTATTTGGAACATTTCATTTTGTATAGTAAAATGACTATTTTACCCATTAACAGTTATATTAAACAATTTTTGTTAATTTAAGGCATTCAAAGCCTTGTATCACTGCATTGGTCGGTGGCCTGGTAGAGAAACGATGAAAGAAGAGAAAACAGGGAAAATGAAAAAAAATTGTTTTTACAGTTTACATAAAAACGAAAAAGTTGAAGACGTCCGTGTTAAGGAAACGGAGATATCAATTAATATCTTAACATCATTAACTTCACCAAAAAGATAACGGATTTATTGCAGCGGGGGGTAAGGTGAATTTTCAGAACCAATAGGGCTTAATTAGTTCGTGAAATGTATGGGGAACCCATATCTTTTTTATATTTATAATTACATCACATTTATTTAAATAAAAGTTGAGGATCCTAAAAATATCCGATTATTAAAACAAAACTGGACCCACCACAAGCTTAGTCCTTGTGAATGTTGAGTGGTTCCACCAAACATAAAAATATCACATATCTCTTTATTTTATTTTTTAAAAACTTCATTTGTTATAGTCAAAGGAAATTAGGTAATAAAACAATTGTAATAAGGTAAAAGTCAGATTGTAGTATTTATAAATAAATAATATATTCACGTGTAACTTACCACATAGCATATAAATCTACGGTTCAAAATTATGTATTAATGTAATGTTACATTTGTGGATAAGTGATACCTCGTATGCAGTAATAGTGATAGGGAATTAGAAAATGTTAACATCGGACTAGATTTTAATGATTTTGGTAAGCATTAATGGGGCCAACGACACTAAAAATAGTCGGCAGGGAAAAGCAAAAGGCTCCGTCGCATAGCAAACTAATCAAAATTCTGACAGCAATCAAGAAAACATTTAATGTTGTTAATGTCGGTTGCGTCATGCGTGAAATGTAACCCAAGTTTGTAAAGTTATAACTTTATACTAACTGTCCCTATCCTGTAATAAAAATAACAAGAAACCGAATATCTCCCAGTCATATCTGGATTGGATAAAATAAACTCACTCACTTAATCAAATTGGATGCAGAATCATTTAATTAAATGCCTAATCCCCATCACTAGTCCAATTATCAAATTACTCTCACTCTTTCTGAGTTTTACACACGCGCCAAGCATCAAAACACAGAGTGTAAAGACACAACTACTTTAATTGAGATGATGGCAAAACATATATAATGATGGTGAACAAGAACAAATGAGGATTATGATTGTGCACCAGGTGAACATTACAGTTGTTGTTTATTTTGTGTATAACATGGAGATTAATATTTTAACATAAAAGATAAACTAAAGGCTTTTGCTATATAATTAATATAATTTACTCCTTTATTTTATATTAAAGAATATTATTTCTCTTACTATTTATCTTGATTGTATTGTAGGCCAACAACTCTAGTACAAGTGGTAGCTATATAATATTTCTTCTTCTTCTTTTTTTCATGAAATTTATGGTTTAAATTTTTTTAAAAGTTCCATCAATATTTAATTAGAAAGCGCCATTCACTATGCTTAATAGACGTAAAGCAGATTGCTTCTTCAAACTTTTCATTAGCTGAAGAAATAGTGGTTAACATTAATTCTAGAAAACATAAAAATTAGTTTAGTAGATAAGTGTAGTTAACAGATAAGACCGTAGAAAGCCAGTGATAATTTCAGAGTACTTAACCATCTCGGGGTGGCTTATGGTAAAAAAAACAAAAAAAGAGGTTTATGAATTACTGAATTCGAATTTCTTAAATACTAAAGATAACCAAAAAAAAAAAAATAATAATAATAATAAATCAGACCATAAAATAAAGTTACGAAATTTAGACATCAAAGACTGTTAAAAGGAGCGAGTGGCAGCACCACTCTAAAAACTTTCCCTTTAAAACAGTACCCACCGAAACACAGCTCTTACCCTTTCTCTCTTTTAGCCGTTGAGTTTCAGTTCTTTCCCCCCTCCAAATGTCATTTTTATAATAAAAAATATTTAACTTACAGCTTCATTTCATTGACCTTTCTCTCTCTCTCTCTCTCTCTCTCTCCTCTATTTACCCAACCTTATTCTTCACGTTTTCTTTCTTCGTTCTTATGTTTCTCTGTTCACCGTTGACGAAAATTTTCAATTTATACACACTTCGATCCTCTCCGAAACAATGCTCTGATCATTTTCGTCTTTACAATGAACGATTCTCAGTCCTTCTCCTCCACTTCTGATTCCGCTTCAATAGCCACCGTCGATCAGGTAATCAGTTCACTCTCACTCTTCTTTATTCATAACCTGAAGACGGAACCACTTGTTATGATTGCCAGAGCAATGACTTCATTTTACTGTTAATAGTTGTTTTTTTTTTTTTTTTTTTTTTTGATATACTTCAACTTATTGACGTAATATTATTTTTTTAGCTGTTAATGATACTGTGTTTACTTCAATTAACTGTGGAAAGGCCAAAGCTCTTATTGTAGGTTTCATAATTTTGGGTAAATTTTTTTGATCTAATCACTGTACTCCTTACAGGGGTTATGTTATGTCATCTAGTAAGATGCATTCCACATCCATTTTTTAAGTATACCCTCTGTTAATTTTAAAAATCAGAATTTTTTTCACATAATCTCGTAATTCCAAAACAAATTTAAGATTAATGCTTATTTAACTAGGAAAAATTGTTCTAAGTTTGGTGAGAATAGTTTAATTTCAAAATTTTAATAATACTTGTACTTAGAAAAGAAAAGCTATAGATATTATCCTTTGTTGATGCATGTAGCTTCACCTATGAAAATTTAATGTTTTTGAGGACTTTCAAGGGATGCCTATGACAATTTTCGAAGCTTCATTGCCTTATGACAATTTTCGAAACTTCATTGAGGATTCTGTTTATTTTTTAAACCAAATGGATTGAATAATTATACCAAACCTTAGAGGTTGCAACAATATTTTTCAGATAACTTTAACCATTTAGATTTAATTTATCTGTCAGAGACTGTTTTGATGAATTCGTGTTTTAGTTAGATGTTATTCAGTCAAGTTATGAAAAACCTTTGAATTTGAAATTGATTATTTTCTTTTTTGATTTGTTTATTTTAATTTTAGACTGTTGGGAGGAGTCGAAGAAGTACTGATGGTAGTCAAACGATTGCAATTGAATCACGGCATTGGCGGGATGTTTTTTGGTTAGGAATATTTATTATTCATTTGGTTGGTCTAGGGTTTGTTCTTGCAGTTCTTGGGATCAATAGATTTAAGAAATCAGATAGGCTTAATATTGATAGATACACCGAACGGTTGTGGGAGAATAAACCAGGATTGACAGAAACTTATTGGCCGATGTATGCGGTTGCTGGTGGTGTTGGGACTGTCCTTGGATGGACTTGGTTGTTGTTGCTTGGTTCTCATGCAAACCAAATGATGAAGGTTTCGGTGCATATTTTGACTACTTATCTTGCTGTCATCAGTGTCCTATGTTTTTGGTGCGATCAGGTTTTCTGGGGCGTTGCATTTGCAATTGCTGCTGCAATACAGTTCTTGTATGTTATATCGGTTATAGACAGGTATGTGTTTGAGAAATTTCATATTTTTCAGTTTCAATTCATCTTATGGTTGGGCTTTCGTAAAAGAAATTTTTTTTTTTTTTTTTTTTTTGGTGGGATGTATTGTCATGGGATATGTCTTATCTTAGGCATTACAGTTTCATTTGTTACATATTAAATTTGTTTGTCAGTTTATGATTCCATGATTCATATATTATAGGAATTTTTGGAGAGTATGGCAGTGCAGTAAATTTATCATCCAAATCCTGATCTTTGAATCATTGCAATATTTTAAGAAATTGAGAAGATGACTGAAAACTCTAGCAATTCATTATTTAATAAAGTGAAGCATAACGAATCTATTTTGTCTACATTAATAATAGATATTTTATTACCTATTAGTAAAATTATTTTGAGTTATCTCCAATTGCGATGAAAACTTGCTATGAAGACATGTTCCATTCTAGAGTTGTTATGCTGGTAAAATTAGTGTGCATGCATAATCGGTACAGTGATGCACACGGTCTAATATACATTCTTAATACAGTTAGAAGTGGGTATATCAGAATTGGAATTACCAGATCCTTTGAAGTCTTCTCTGATTACTATTATTCTTCCATAGACTTCCATTTACCATGTTGGTGCTGCAAAAAGCAGTGAAGATGGTGTGGGGTCTTCCTGAAGTTATGAGAGTAGCATATGCATTCATGGGAGTGATGCTTTTATGGATGGCAATATGGTCGTTTGGGGCAGCTGGCGTTGTGGCTTCAAGCATGGGTGACAGTGGACGCTGGTGGCTTCTTGTGGTGAGCTGGCAAGTTTTGCTATTTATTTTATCTGTTGTTACTGCAATGACAACTGCAGTAAAGTTGTGTTAGAACATAGCTTATACTGAGTACTTATCATGCTGTCACTTATATTGCAGGTTCTCTCTGTAAGCTTATTTTGGACAGGTGCAGTCCTCTGTAATACAGTGCATGTGATAGTGTCTGGGATGGTTTTTCTTGTTCTTATTCATGATGGTCGAGAATCAGGATCAATGCCTCACAACCCGTTGATGAAATCTCTACGATATGCTGTGACGACATCTTTGGGCAGCATTTGCTATGGTTCACTCTTCACGGCTGCAATTCGGACATTAAGGTGGGAGGTATGAGCTCCAACCTATGCTTTTCTCTGAATGGCTCATATCTTAATTTCTTATTGATTGTTTTCTTCAATATTTTTCATTGTATAATTTTAATTTCGAATGTACATCTTAGATCAGAGGAGTTCGCTCCAAGATTGGAAACAATGAGTGTTTGCTTTGCTGTGTTGACTTTCTGTTCCATTTAGTGGAGACTCTTGTCCGATTCTTCAACAAGTATGCTTATGTCCAGGTACTTTTCCTTTTATTTTTTTATAAAAAATTTATTATATTTTAATTCTCTGTCTGTCAGTAATCTGTCTAATATTTAATTATAGTACCACAAGTATAGCATGTTACTTTTGTATATGTATTAGAACATTCATTGTACGACAAAACANTCGAATGTACATCTTAGATCAGAGGAGTTCGCTCCAAGATTGGAAACAATGAGTGTTTGCTTTGCTGTGTTGACTTTCTGTTCCATTTAGTGGAGACTCTTGTCCGATTCTTCAACAAGTATGCTTATGTCCAGGTACTTTTCCTTTTATTTTTTTATAAAAAATTTATTATATTTTAATTCTCTGTCTGTCAGTAATCTGTCTAATATTTAATTATAGTACCACAAGTATAGCATGTTACTTTTGTATATGTATTAGAACATTCATTGTACGACAAAACAAAAAGTCATGTTAATTGCAAAGCATCACTTTAGATCAAAATCTTATCAGCTCATGAACAGTGGGCAAAATTTGATGTATTTGGCAGACATGAAAACAACTGTATCCTGATCTAAGGTTAGATTCTTTTAGCTTTAGGGAAAGGAGAAACAATCAGTTGTTAGGTTAAGCTAGCTCAAGCTTATGTGCTCTTTTCTGCAGCGGTAATTCAGTCCACAGACTTTTAGATTTAGACTAATATCTGTCATAGTTAGATGGGGTGAGCTTTTCGAAAAGAATTTTTTTTGAGGGTTTTCTGGCAATTACATCATATGCAGCCTAGAATATGATTTAATTGGGATTAGACAGAAATAAAATATTAATATATTCATTTGTTTTTTTGGGATGTAATCAAGTTTTGGTTTCTCTTTGGATATCTTTGTCACTGAAATTGTGAGATCGGCATTTTCTTCTTGTCCAATATAACTGGTAGGCGGCAGTGAATTGATATAAATCCTGTCTCCTTGAGTGTTGCTGCATCAAATTTTTATTAATTGTATTCGTTCTTCTCTTATGCTCTAGTATATCTTTGTTTGACACTTTCATCTCAACTTGAGTTCATCACTTTTAATATTTCTTTTTTTAGAACATGTGTTTTGTCAGATGTTTCCTTTTTATCCCGGTGTTTTATGAAAGACATTCTCCAGCTATTCTGCTAGGATGGAAGACCATACATCTTTCAACAAAGAAGAAAATGCTTTTTGAAGTTTATGATTGTTTATTTCATGCTTCTTAAGTTTGTTGAGAGTAGTTTATTTAGCAACTGCTGTTGTAAATTATCTGGCTGATTTTGGAACTAAATTATTAGTTTGCAAATACTAACCTCTATCCCTTTCAGATTGCTGTTTATGGTAAAGGTTTTAATCGGTCAGCAAGGGATGCCTGGGAGTTATTCCAATCAACTGGAGTTGAAGCACTTATCGCCTATGATTGTTCTGGTGCTGTACTACTGATGTGCACTCTTTTGGGTGGACTTATCACTGGAACTTGCTCAGGGGTTTGGGCGTATACTAAATCGAAAGACAGAGTGATTATGGTGGGGTCAACTGCAATGTTGATGGGAATGGTCTTAGTACGTTTTCTCGGTAGAACAATATTTTGTTGTTGTTTTACTAATTGCTTACTAAATAATCTAACTTTTTGGGTTGGTTTGGTTTAGGTGGGGCTGGCAATGGTTGTGGTTGAAAGTGCAGTTACATCCATATATATATGTTACGCAGAAGACCCCTTGTTGATTCACAGATGGGATGCTGAATTCTTTAACCAGATGTCTGAAACACTACACCAGCGTCTCCAATATAGGAGTGCAAGAGCCAGGGAAGTATTGACCCACAATAACCTCAATGGCCATGCCCATACCCAAGAAACACTTTCTGTCTAATTTCCTGCGAAAATAATTTCCATTGTGCTTTAATTATTCATCTAATTTCCAAATGTATGAGTTCTTTTTTGTTTTGTGAGGGTGTTTTCTTTTGTTTTCCCTTTTTTTACATAGAAGTGAAAAGTTATAGGAAACAATTTATGGCCTATTTCCGTATTATTACTTGAAGCTGCGTATCCAAAACAACACAGGATAACTGCCTATGTAAATGGTGTGTAGCGGTTTAAAATTTTTGCCCTTGATTATTGTGGATCTGGATTTATTGTTGGGCTCATGGGCTGTATGTATTACACTTGTTTAAATACCCAACTGTCTCATTATTGTATCTCGTATTATCGCTCATGTCCGTTTGATTATTGTTATTATTTTATTTAGTAGGAAAAGTTTCCAAGTCTATGGTCTATTATGTTGGATTGAAAAGTGTTTATGGATTATCCCAAATCTGAAATGGAAACTTTTAGTCGAATTAGAGTATGTTGGAGGCAGAAGTTCATAATAAAAAATTCCCAATGGGTTAGCCAATGATTAGGTTAGTGGTTGTCTTTCATGAGGTCTGGGTTTGAGTTTCTTCATGAATGATTTTCTAGAGCCTTGGCTTTTAATTAGAGACAGATTTTGTGTTTTCCATGGTTTTATGCATGTCTATATGTTGCTTGCAAAGTGATGCTATAAACTTAAAGTTCACTGAAATACAAGTGAAAGTGAAGTAAATTAGTATAACTTTCACTACCCTTATTTCATTCACCACTCACTAAATTATGCATCGTATTATTCTTTTTTAACTTTGATAGCCTGCAGAATTTTTCATTGAATCTAAGACAATCAATTATTTTATCTGTACAAACAGTGGCTATAATATTATTAATCTTCATGATTTCTTAAGTATAACATAAAAAAAAAAAAAGCTTTCGATTGGTTAAGTATTTAATAATAATTTTAAAACCAGAATTAATTATTTGTATTTATAACAGAGAGAGAGATAGGTAGGTGATAAAGGAAACAGAAGCAGGGAGTGGAAAACAAAAGTGGTGTAACTGAGAAGGAGAAGGAAGGTGAAATGGAAGAAACAAACAAAATAACGATCTAACATAAACACCAGAGAAAACCACAACCTGCCACCTCATCATCTTCTCCACCCTTTGCCGTATAAGATTAGTCATGTCATAATAATATTTCGCTACCCTAGTAAGTAGTACCCTTCTCTCTCTGCCATACATAAATATACCCCTTTACACATTACAATACACGTCTTTCTTTTTCCCTACTATCATCAGGGATAAAATGGGTATCTAGCTTTCATATTTAATTCAAAATGGTGGAATGGAAGAATGGGAGGTTAAATGAGATTTGCCCAATACATGAACTCTGCATTGCTTTGGCTTCTTTCTTTCTCTGATACTGGTACTGATACTGCTACACTCTGGTCTATGTACCTAAGGAAGCAAGTGGTTTCTTTGAAGCAATGCCTTATTTTAAGTAGGTCATTAATTAAGGTGGCTTTGAATTTTTATTTGTTTGTCGGGGTTGGGTTGGGTTTGGCTGAAGCTCTAGTTTTTATTACGACATCACGTCACCATCAGTTCATCTTTTGCCGCAGACACCCTTCCCCATGCACATTTGCAGAACACTCTTTCTTTGAGAGGGAAAGCCAGAAAGGTATCAATGCCTAAAATTGCTAGGTCTCATAATTCTACTCCATTTTTAAGTTTTAACTCTTCTCTCTTCACAAACAAACAAATTAACAATCAAACTGATCCAAGGCTGAAGCACACGGCGCCAAAGAATCGACACACATAAGATAAATAAAAAAATACGACACCTCATCCATGCATAACTGTTATCCTTTTCCATGCAGGCCAAAGTAATCCAATGGTCATTAATATTAAGTAACATAAAAAAAAAATCTCTAGTGGACCGTATTATTTTCTTTATATTTTGATTGGATTGGATTGGCACCAACTTTTTCTAGTACACACTGAACTGATAGAAACAAAATATTCTTTCCATTGGGTACACGTAAATTTATAATTATTGGTTGTATAAAATAAAAGTATCAAGTGAGTTGTTCCTTTTCTGTGTCAAAGGGTTAATGGATAACTTTAGTGTTTTAGAAGTTAAAAATAGTTGCAATTTGTTTTGTCTTTTGTATTTCAAAAATATATCTATCTTCTTGAAGTTGAAGATAGTGGATAACTGAAGATGATATGACACCAACTCATTAGTTAATGGAAGTTGATTGCTGTCAAAAGCTACATACTAAAATCCACATTTTATTAATTGCAATAACTCTATTAAATGGACTGTTTATTAACAATTTGTAATACCAAAAATCTTCAGAAAATACAAAAATATGAACAGTGATATTAACCATCTAAGGTTCATAATAATAATTAATAAAACTTAATTACATCATTTAAAAGCAAAATAATAATAAAGGAATAAAAGAGAAGAGGTGAAAAGAACGCTCTGTAGCAAGAGATTGAAAGAGGATATAGAAATGTGTGGGAGTATTGGGAAACTAAAATCCAAAGTCAGAAGGCAATAATAAAAAAGGCTGATGTTTTTATATCATCAAATAAACAAAAAGACCCGTACTGATATGCTATGTTCTTCAAGAAAGATACTTGAAGATTTTCTCTACTTCTGGCCGGTTTCCTTCTTCTCCAATATCATTTTCTTTCTTTCTTTTTGACTCTCTCGCGAATTCAACAAAACAATCCCTTAACCTTTTCCTTCCTTTTTAACTATGCAAAGCTTCAAACCAGCTCCTACTACTAACCCTGAAATATATTGCCACTCTTCCTTCTTTCTCAGGTATTTCTTTTCTTTTTCGTTTAAGTTAAGGTTTTGTTTGGTTTAGCTATGTTCTTTTTTTTTTTTTTTTTTGGGGGGGGGGGGGAGAGAAACAAGCTTTTGCATGGCTTTGAGTGTAAGGCAGAGATAAGTTGATCTGTTTAAGTCAAGCTTCTTTCTTGAGTTTGATTTTTTTTATCGAGTTAAAAAAAAAAAACAGGGGAGTAGATGAAAGCAGCCGAAACCAGACGCGTTTTGCGGATCTTGGAGAGCTTGAACAACCTTTTCAGAACGATGCTGTTGATTTAAGCCCAAGTATTCGCCCTCTCTCTTTAAATATTTACATATAATATGAGGGTTGCTCATATAATATATATAACTGTATTGTGTTATTTATCTCTCTTGAACGTTCAGTTTCCTTTACTAATCTATTTTCTTTTTTGGCTTTGACATCCCTTGTAGGCTCCATGTTCAGTTTAAAAGCCAACAATGTTGCTGTTGTTTCCAATAACTTCCACTACAACACCTTGACCACGGTACTCAACTTTGCCCAGCTAACTTTTGGTTATATGATTAAGTTTCACTGCCATGTTTATTCATTTATCATTTATGTTTTGCTTGATTGATTAATAATGATGTTTTTGTGTTGTGTGTTTTTTCGCAAAGAGCATTGGGTTTGCTACAGATATAGTAGCTTCAACTGGGACTGGAGGGTGTTTGGATACAGGTCAGTTTATATACCAGAAGGGGACAACGGTTGGTTCCTCGTTGGGAAACGGGCATATTGAGAATTGGGGCGAGTCAGGTTCAGGCATGGCTGATAACAGCCAACAGACTGACACTTCTACAGATGTTGACACTGATGAAAAAAACCAGGTTGCTTGTCTCTTTCTCGGTTTTTTTCTTTGTATGTGTTTTGTTTTCTACAAATTTTCTGTTTCTTTTATATGTATGTACTGTTAAATTGGAATCTTTCGGCATAGTGGTGGGTCATCCTGGTGATGAAGAATCTACTGTGAATTTGAGTTGCATTAGCATCATATTTTTGTTTTCAACCTTTTGTAGATGTTTTAGAATAATCTGGTTCTTGTTGGGTGATGCTGGTGGAACTTTTGTCAGTGATCAATATGGGGCCTATATTGGATATGGAGTATCAATACTTAAGAATACTTGCAGCTAACGTTTGCTAATAGTATCACCATAATCCATATCATTTGGTTTGCTAAAGGTGAATTTCAAACTTTTAGTTGATAGGACTGTTGAAAGTTGTTATTGCCTCCAAATAATGGGTACTTGGCACAAATGGAATGTGGCAAGGGATACTAGTCATCATTTGTATCTGTGCTATCACATTAATATCACTTTTCTATCAGCTACTTTTCATGTTATCTAGAGTAATTATGTTGGCTCTTGATGGTGCCATAGGTTCATGGAGTTCAGCGTGGAGCACTTGTGGTCGTAAATTCAATGGATCAATCCAAGGCTAAAACTGGTGACCAAAAGGTTGTTAAAATTATATTTCTTAGCTCGTTTGGTAAAAAAAATAAAAAAATAAAAAAATAAGACATTGTTATTTTTTATGGTTGATTCTAAGGGGATGCTTTCTATTTCCAGGTGCTGCGTAGGTTGGCTCAGAATCGGGAAGCTGCAAAAAAGAGTCGACTGAGGAAGAAGGTAATGTTGTCTATGCTTGTTAAATTCTCTGCTCATATGGATGAATGATACTATTTTACTTTGTTTTCTTGATTTTCCAATTTATACATTTTTCTGACATCTTATGTACAAGTTTGCCATAGTGTGTTCATACCATTGTAAGTTTGAATTCTGCATGCTTATCAAGGACTTCTGTTGCTCAGACTTTGTTTTGGGTTTTTGCTGGTAACTTCTAATTTTCTGGGCTATGGCAAGTTTACAAGTTTGAATTCACAAAAACAATTTAGAAATTTAGAAAGGTAGTATCAAAAAGAATGAAAAAGAATGAACTGCTACAATTATGATCGTTTAAAGCATTTTCAGTGTGTGTATCACTCATAAGAGAGAATGCTAATAATTGTGGCATCAGTATGTGGAGCTTGTAGAATATATATGCTTTTACCAGCTTTGTGATTGTCCTTGGGATGGATTGTGTTTGTCATGACCTTTTATCCTGCCATTGGGCAAGTCAGAAGCAAAATTTTAATTACTGAAGTAAACATTAAATTGATTTGTTCTTGAAAAACTATCTTTTTGCCACTTTACTATGGGGATTTTTCATGTATTTGAACCTACCTTTGGCCAATCCTTTAATAGTCTCTGATCACTGGCTAAACATGTTTGTGCGGCATCATTGTCAGAATTTTGGGTTTATTTGTAGCTGGTGGTTAATTGGTTTTCATCTGAATTAACATCATTATTACCTCGTCTGTTTGGGTTGTGATGTCTTAATTTTATGAGCGAAAGCATACTTGGGATCATTTATAGGTTTTGGTTTTCAATAGGCATATGTCCAGCAGCTAGAGAGTAGTCGTCTCAGGCTTACACAACTAGAGCAGGAGCTTCAAAGAGCTCGCCAGCAGGTTTGTGAATTTTATTCTTATCGTTGTTCCGCTGTTGTTGTCATACTAACTATTCTCAATTGAAAGGTGAGATTCGCGTGACAGCTTCTTTTAGTTTCTTTTTGTCCCTCCTTTTTTCTTTTAGTAAATGCAGTGGATTTAAAAGTGGGGACGTTTCTTTATGGGCAATTAAATTCTTCTTAGTACAGATTTCATATTTTGATGCAGGGTATTTTTATTGCAACCGGAGTTTCAGGAGAGCAAGGCCATTCCGGGACTGGAAGTGGTAAGGGGTGATTTGATGTAGTGTGCTCAGTTGCTTGTGTCAAATTGTTGAAAGGGTATTCATTCATACAATATTGTAGCTAACCCTGAAAATTTTGACTTGCAGTACCAGTGATTGGACAAAATTTTTTAATTGTCTTGCTGTATCTAATATAAGCGCACACTAGTTATTGCAATATTGATTTATCGAAGTCCAAAATACTATTGTATTTATTATCTTATGGTCCCAGAATTTTTGAAAAGTATTATACTGAGCTATGAAATCACACATGAAAGAATATACAAATACACAGCATAAGGTGGAAGTGAGATGACAGTGAGTAAAGAGAATGGCTAGTGAAGTAGATTGTGATTTGCAGTGTGCAATTTATTGGATCACCGTGCACAAAGAATAGCTTGCATCCTGCTGTATGCCAATGGATACCAATTTTAGGCTATATCAGTGATGTGATCTAGTATCATAATAGTCTTTGCTTATTGACTTGTCTATACAGCAGGATTAAGGCTTCTATTATTTGTGTCTAATCTCTGCTGTAGAATGATGCCTAGAGCATATATCGTAGATTATTGAATTTAAGAATTTTAGAGAATATTCTTTCTAAATGAAAATGTAATTGGTCATACTTCATCAGGGGCTTTGGCATTTGACCTGGACTATGCACGCTGGCTTGATGAACATCAGAGGCTGAACAATGACCTAAGATCAGCTGTAAACTCTCATATGGGTGATAATGAATTATGCCACCATGTCGATGGTGTTATGGCACATTATGATGAAGTATTCCAACTAAAGAGCATCGGTGCAAAGGCTGATGTATTTCACATTCTATCTGGCATGTGGAAAACACCTGCTGAGAGGTGTTTCATGTGGTTGGGTGGATTTCGTTCATCTGAACTTCTCAAGGTGATTTGCTGTTAGATATTTTGGCTTTGCCACAAGGGATATACATATTTTGGTTGATTCACTCCATTTCTTGTTTCATTTTTGGAATGCTAGATACTTGGCAACCATCTAGAACCCTTAACAGATCAACAGTTGATGGACATTTGCAATCTACAGCAGTCCTCCCAACAGGCTGAAGATGCCTTATCCCAAGGAATGGAAGCTTTGCAACAGTCTCTTGTAGACACACTTTCCACTGCATCTCTTGGCCCTGCTGCTACTGGAAATGTTGTTGATTACATGGGCCAAATGGCAATTGCAATGGGCAAGCTTGCCACACTAGAGAATTTCCTCCACCAGGTAAAAATCAATCGCAAATTTCATGTGTAATTATCACTATTATTTTGATTATAAACAGGTTTTCTATTTTAGGCTGATCTTCTAAGGCAGCAAACACTTCAACAAATGCATCGAATTTTGACAACTCGACAAGCGGCACGGGCCCTTCTAGTTATAAACGATTACACTTCACGCCTTCGGGCTCTTAGCTCTCTATGGTTAGCTCGTCCTAGGGACTGATGTTATCCGTGTCCTCACAACTCTTCCTCGGGACATTATTGAGCATTTAACAGAGTAGTTAAGCTATTTCACCTTATATTAGAACCCATTGAAAGTGTTGGGACCAATGAGTTGGTGATACCTCAAGTTAATTGCTCAAAGATAGCCCCAATTTTGTTGTTGTTACTGTATTTATCAATTGTCCTAGGGGTAAAATACTACCTCACGGTTCACAGGATGCCATTGTTCAGAAGAACCCTGTTGCTGGTGTAATCACAGGTTATGATGCCGTTGTCTAACCTTATAAGATAGTGCTGATGCATGATAGAATTTAACAATATCAAAACTGTACTTAATTATTGGTTGTATAAAAAAAAGTATCAAGTGAGTTGTTCCTTTTCTGTGTCAAAGGGTTAATGGATAACTTTAGTGTTTTAGAAGTTAAAAATAGTTGCAATTTGTTTTGCTTTTGTATTTCAAAAATATCTATCTTCTTGAAGTTGAAGATAGTGGATAACTGAAGATGATATGACACCAACTCATTAGTTAATGGAAGTTGATTGCTGTCAAAAGCTACATACTAAAATCCACATTTTATTAATTGCAATAACTCTATTAAAGGACTGTTTATAACAATTTGTAATACCAAAAATCTTCAGAAAATACAAAAATATGAACAGTGATATTAACCATCTAAGGTCATAATAATAATAAAAAACTTAAACATCATTTAAAAGCAAAATAATAATAAAGGAATAAAGAGAAGAGGTGAAAAGAACGCTCTGTAGCAAGAGATTGAAGAGGATATATAGTATAGAACTGTGTGGAGTATTGGGAAACAAAACCAAAGTCAGAAGGCAATAATAAAAAGGCTGATGTTTTTATATCATCAAATAAACAAAAAGACCCGTACTGATATGTTAGTTCTTCATAAAGATACTTGAAGATTTCTCTACTTCTGGCCGGTTTCTTCTTCTCCAATATCATTTCTTTCTTTCTTTTTGACTCTCTCGCGAATTCAACAAAAAAAATCCCTTAACCTTTCCTTCCTTTTAACTATGCAAAGCTCAAACAGCTCCTACTACTAACCCTGAAATATATTGCCTCTTCCTCTTTCTCAGGTATTCTTTTCTTTTTCGTTTAAGTTAAGGTTTTTGTTGGTTAGCTATGTTCTTTTTTTTTTTTTTGGGGGGGGGGGGGAGAGAAACAAGCTTTTGCATGGTTTGGTGTAAGGCAGAGATAAGTGATCTGTTTAAGTCAAGCTTCTTTCTTGAGTTTGATTTTTTTTATCGAGTTAAAAAAAAAAAACAGGGGAGTAGATGAAAGCAGCCGAAACACGACGCGTTTTGCGGATCTTGGAGAGCTTGAACAACCTTTTCAGAACGATGCTGTGATTTAAGCCCAAGTATTCGCCCTCTCTCTTAAATATTTACATATAATATGGGGTTGCTCATATAAATATATAACTGTATGTGTTATTTATCTCTCTTGAACGTTCAGTTTCCTTTACTAATCTATTTTCTTTTTGTTTGACATCCGTTGTAGGCTCCATGTTCAGTTTAAAAGCCAACAATGTTGCTGTTGTTTCCAATAACTTCCACTACAACACCTTGACCACGGTACTCAACTTGCCCAGCTAACTTTTGGTTATATGATTAAGTTTCACTGCATGTTTATTCATTTATCATTATGTTTTTGCTTGATTGTTAATAATGATGTTTTGTTGTTGTGTGTTTTTTCGCAAAGAGCATTGGGGTGCTACAGAATAGTAGTTCAATGGGACTGGAGGGTGTTTGGATACAGGTCAGTTTATATACCAGAAGGGGACAACGGTTGGTTCCTCGTTGGGAAACGGGCATATTGAGAATTGGGGCGAGTCAGGTTCAGGCAGGCTGATAACAGCAACAAGACTGACACTTTACAGATGTTGACACTGATGAAAAAAACCAGGTTGCTTGTCTCTTTCTCGGTTTTTTTCTTTGTATGTGTTTTGTTTTCTACAAATTTTCTGTTTTTTTATATGTATGTACTGTTAAATTGGAATCTTTCGGCATAGTGGTGGGTCATCTGGTGATGAAGAATCTACTGTGAATTTGAGTTGCATTAGCATCATATTTTTGTTTTCAACCTTTTGTAGATGTTTTAGAATAATCTGGTTCTTGTTGGGTGATGCTGGTGGAACTTGTCAGTGATCAATATGGGGCCTATATTGGATATGGAATATCAATCTAGATACTTGCAGCTAACGTTTGCTAATAGTATCACCAAATCCATCATTTGGTTTGCTAAAGGTGAATTCAAACTTTTAGTTGATAGGACTGTTGAAAGTTGTTATTGCCTCCAATAATGGGTACTTGGCACAAATGGAATGTGGCAAGGGTATATAGTCATCATTTGTATCTGTGCTATCACATTAATATCTTTTCTATCAGCTACTTTTCATGTTATCTAGAGAATTATGTTGGTCTTGATGGTGCCATAGGTTCATGGAGTTCAGCGTGGAGCACTTGTGGTCGTAAATTCAATGGATCAATCCAAGGCTAAAACTGGTGACCAAAAGGTTGTTAAAATTATATTTCTTAGCTGTTTGGTAAAAAAAATAAAAAAATAAGACATTGTATTTTTTATGGTTGATCTAAGGGGATGCTTTCTATTTCCAGGTGCTGCGTAGGTTGGCTCAGAATCGGGAAGCTGCAAAAAAGAGTCGACTGAGGAAGAAGGTAATGTTGTTCTGCTTGTTAAATTTGCTCATATGGTGAATGATACTATTTTACTTTGTTTTTTTTTGATTTTCCAATTTATACATTTTTCTGACATCTTATGTCCAAGTTTGCCATAGTGTGTTCATACCATTGTAAGTTTGAATTCTGCATGCTTATCAAGGACTTCTGTTGCTCAGACTTTGTTGGGTTTTTGCTGGTAACTTCTAATTTTCTGGGCTATGGCAAGTTTACAAGTTTGAATTCACAAAAACAATTTAGAAATTTAGAAAGGTAGTATCAAAAAGAATGAAAAAGAATGAACTGCTACAATTATGATCGTTTAAAGCATTTTCAGTGTGTGATCACTCATAAGAGAGAATGCTAATAATGTGGGCATCAGTATGTGGAGCTTGTAGAATATATAGCTTTTACCAGCTTTGTGATTGTCCAGTTGAAGCACTTATCGCCTATGATTGTTCAGGTGCTGTACTACTGATGTGCACTCTTTTGGGTGGACTTATCACTGGAACTTGCTCAGGGGTTTGGGCGTATACTAAATCGAAAGACAGAGTGATTATGGTGGGGTCAACTGCAATGTTGATGGGAATGGTCTTAGTACGTTTTCTCGGTAGAACAATATTTTGTTGTTGTTTTACTAATTGCTTACTAAATAATCTAACTTTTTGGGTTGGTTTGGTTTAGGTGGGGCTGGCAATGGTTGTGGTTGAAAGTGCAGTTACATCCATATATATATGTTACGCAGAAGACCCCTTGTTGATTCACAGATGGGATGCTGAATTCTTTAACCAGATGTCTGAAACACTACACCAGCGTCTCCAATATAGGAGTGCAAGAGCCAGGGAAGTATTGACCCACAATAACCTCAATGGCCATGCCCATACCCAAGAAACACTTTCTGTCTAATTTCCTGCGAAAATAATTTCCATTGTGCTTTAATTATTCATCTAATTTCCAAATGTATGAGTTCTTTTTTGTTTTGTGAGGGTGTTTTCTTTTGTTTTCCCTTTTTTTACATAGAAGTGAAAAGTTATAGGAAACAATTTATGGCCTATTTCCGTATTATTACTTGAAGCTGCGTATCCAAAACAACACAGGATAACTGCCTATGTAAATGGTGTGTAGCGGTTTAAAATTTTTGCCCTTGATTATTGTGGATCTGGATTTATTGTTGGGCTCATGGGCTGTATGTATTACACTTGTTTAAATACCCAACTGTCTCATTATTGTATCTCGTATTATCGCTCATGTCCGTTTGATTATTGTTATTATTTTATTTAGTAGGAAAAGTTTCCAAGTCTATGGTCTATTATGTTGGATTGAAAAGTGTTTATGGATTATCCCAAATCTGAAATGGAAACTTTTAGTCGAATTAGAGTATGTTGGAGGCAGAAGTTCATAATAAAAAATTCCCAATGGGTTAGCCAATGATTAGGTTAGTGGTTGTCTTTCATGAGGTCTGGGTTTGAGTTTCTTCATGAATGATTTTCTAGAGCCTTGGCTTTTAATTAGAGACAGATTTTGTGTTTTCCATGGTTTTATGCATGTCTATATGTTGCTTGCAAAGTGATGCTATAAACTTAAAGTTCACTGAAATACAAGTGAAAGTGAAGTAAATTAGTATAACTTTCACTACCCTTATTTCATTCACCACTCACTAAATTATGCATCGTATTATTCTTTTTTAACTTTGATAGCCTGCAGAATTTTTCATTGAATCTAAGACAATCAATTATTTTATCTGTACAAACAGTGGCTATAATATTATTAATCTTCATGATTTCTTAAGTATAACATAAAAAAAAAAAAAGCTTTCGATTGGTTAAGTATTTAATAATAATTTTAAAACCAGAATTAATTATTTGTATTTATAACAGAGAGAGAGATAGGTAGGTGATAAAGGAAACAGAAGCAGGGAGTGGAAAACAAAAGTGGTGTAACTGAGAAGGAGAAGGAAGGTGAAATGGAAGAAACAAACAAAATAACGATCTAACATAAACACCAGAGAAAACCACAACCTGCCACCTCATCATCTTCTCCACCCTTTGCCGTATAAGATTAGTCATGTCATAATAATATTTCGCTACCCTAGTAAGTAGTACCCTTCTCTCTCTGCCATACATAAATATACCCCTTTACACATTACAATACACGTCTTTCTTTTTCCCTACTATCATCAGGGATAAAATGGGTATCTAGCTTTCATATTTAATTCAAAATGGTGGAATGGAAGAATGGGAGGTTAAATGAGATTTGCCCAATACATGAACTCTGCATTGCTTTGGCTTCTTTCTTTCTCTGATACTGGTACTGATACTGCTACACTCTGGTCTATGTACCTAAGGAAGCAAGTGGTTTCTTTGAAGCAATGCCTTATTTTAAGTAGGTCATTAATTAAGGTGGCTTTGAATTTTTATTTGTTTGTCGGGGTTGGGTTGGGTTTGGCTGAAGCTCTAGTTTTTATTACGACATCACGTCACCATCAGTTCATCTTTTGCCGCAGACACCCTTCCCCATGCACATTTGCAGAACACTCTTTCTTTGAGAGGGAAAGCCAGAAAGGTATCAATGCCTAAAATTGCTAGGTCTCATAATTCTACTCCATTTTTAAGTTTTAACTCTTCTCTCTTCACAAACAAACAAATTAACAATCAAACTGATCCAAGGCTGAAGCACACGGCGCCAAAGAATCGACACACATAAGATAAATAAAAAAATACGACACCTCATCCATGCATAACTGTTATCCTTTTCCATGCAGGCCAAAGTAATCCAATGGTCATTAATATTAAGTAACATAAAAAAAAAATCTCTAGTGGACCGTATTATTTTCTTTATATTTTGATTGGATTGGATTGGCACCAACTTTTTCTAGTACACACTGAACTGATAGAAACAAAATATTCTTTCCATTGGGTACACGTAAATTTATAATTATTGGTTGCATAAAAGTATCAAGTGAGTTGTTCCTTTTCTGTGTCAAAGGGTTAATGGATCACTTTAGTGTTTTAGAAGTTAAAAATAGTTGCAATTTGTTTTGTCTTTTGTATTTCAAAAATATATCTATCTTCTTGAAGTTGAAGATAGTGGATAACTGAAGATGATATGACACCAACTCATTAGTTAATGGAAGCTGATTGCTGTCAAAAGTTACATACTAAAATCCACATTTTATTAATTGCAATAACTCTATTAAATGGACTGTTTGTTAACAATTTGTAATACCAAAAATCTTCAGAGTTTTCAGAAAATACAAAAATATGAACAGTGATATTAACCATCTGAGGTTCATAATAATAATTAATAAAACTTAATTACATCATTTAAAAGCAAAATAATAATAAAGGAATAAAAGAGAAGAGGTGAAAAGAACGCTCTGTAGCAAGAGATTGAAAGAGGATATAGAAATGTGTGGGAGTATTGGGAAACTAAAATCCAAAGTCAGAAGGCAATAATAAAAAAGGCTGATGTTTTTATATCATCAAATAAACAAAAAGACCCGTACTGATATGCTATGTTCTTCAAGAAAGATACTTGAAGATTTTCTCTACTTCTGGCCGGTTTCCTTCTTCTCCAATATCATTTTCTTTCTTTCTTTTTGACTCTCTCGCGAATTCAACAAAACAATCCCTTAACCTTTTCCTTCCTTTTTAACTATGCAAAGCTTCAAACCAGCTCCTACTACTAACCCTGAAATATATTGCCACTCTTCCTTCTTTCTCAGGTATTTCTTTTCTTTTTCGTTTAAGTTAAGGTTTTGTTTGGTTTAGCTATGTTCTTTTTTTTTTTTTTTTTTGGGGGGGGGGGGGAGAGAAACAAGCTTTTGCATGGCTTTGAGTGTAAGGCAGAGATAAGTTGATCTGTTTAAGTCAAGCTTCTTTCTTGAGTTTGATTTTTTTTTATCGAGTTAAAAAAAAAAAACAGGGGAGTAGATGAAAGCAGCCGAAACCAGACGCGTTTTGCGGATCTTGGAGAGCTTGAACAACCTTTTCAGAACGATGCTGTTGATTTAAGCCCAAGTATTCGCCCTCTCTCTTTAAATATTTACATATAATATGAGGGTTGCTCATATAATATATATAACTGTATTGTGTTATTTATCTCTCTTGAACGTTCAGTTTCCTTTACTAATCTATTTTCTTTTTTGGCTTTGACATCCCTTGTAGGCTCCATGTTCAGTTTAAAAGCCAACAATGTTGCTGTTGTTTCCAATAACTTCCACTACAACACCTTGACCACGGTACTCAACTTTGCCCAGCTAACTTTTGGTTATATGATTAAGTTTCACTGCCATGTTTATTCATTTATCATTTATGTTTTGCTTGATTGATTAATAATGATGTTTTTGTGTTGTGTGTTTTTTCGCAAAGAGCATTGGGTTTGCTACAGATATAGTAGCTTCAACTGGGACTGGAGGGTGTTTGGATACAGGTCAGTTTATATACCAGAAGGGGACAACGGTTGGTTCCTCGTTGGGAAACGGGCATATTGAGAATTGGGGCGAGTCAGGTTCAGGCATGGCTGATAACAGCCAACAGACTGACACTTCTACAGATGTTGACACTGATGAAAAAAACCAGGTTGCTTGTCTCTTTCTCGGTTTTTTTCTTTGTATGTGTTTTGTTTTCTACAAATTTTCTGTTTCTTTTATATGTATGTACTGTTAAATTGGAATCTTTCGGCATAGTGGTGGGTCATCCTGGTGATGAAGAATCTACTGTGAATTTGAGTTGCATTAGCATCATATTTTTGTTTTCAACCTTTTGTAGATGTTTTAGAATAATCTGGTTCTTGTTGGGTGATGCTGGTGGAACTTTTGTCAGTGATCAATATGGGGCCTATATTGGATATGGAGTATCAATACTTAAGAATACTTGCAGCTAACGTTTGCTAATAGTATCACCATAATCCATATCATTTGGTTTGCTAAAGGTGAATTTCAAACTTTTAGTTGATAGGACTGTTGAAAGTTGTTATTGCCTCCAAATAATGGGTACTTGGCACAAATGGAATGTGGCAAGGGATACTAGTCATCATTTGTATCTGTGCTATCACATTAATATCACTTTTCTATCAGCTACTTTTCATGTTATCTAGAGTAATTATGTTGGCTCTTGATGGTGCCATAGGTTCATGGAGTTCAGCGTGGAGCACTTGTGGTCGTAAATTCAATGGATCAATCCAAGGCTAAAACTGGTGACCAAAAGGTTGTTAAAATTATATTTCTTAGCTCGTTTGGTAAAAAAAATAAAAAAATAAAAAAATAAGACATTGTTATTTTTTATGGTTGATTCTAAGGGGATGCTTTCTATTTCCAGGTGCTGCGTAGGTTGGCTCAGAATCGGGAAGCTGCAAAAAAGAGTCGACTGAGGAAGAAGGTAATGTTGTCTATGCTTGTTAAATTCTCTGCTCATATGGATGAATGATACTATTTTACTTTGTTTTCTTGATTTTCCAATTTATACATTTTTCTGACATCTTATGTACAAGTTTGCCATAGTGTGTTCATACCATTGTAAGTTTGAATTCTGCATGCTTATCAAGGACTTCTGTTGCTCAGACTTTGTTTTGGGTTTTTGCTGGTAACTTCTAATTTTCTGGGCTATGGCAAGTTTACAAGTTTGAATTCACAAAAACAATTTAGAAATTTAGAAAGGTAGTATCAAAAAGAATGAAAAAGAATGAACTGCTACAATTATGATCGTTTAAAGCATTTTCAGTGTGTGTATCACTCATAAGAGAGAATGCTAATAATTGTGGCATCAGTATGTGGAGCTTGTAGAATATATATGCTTTTACCAGCTTTGTGATTGTCCTTGGGATGGATTGTGTTTGTCATGACCTTTTATCCTGCCATTGGGCAAGTCAGAAGCAAAATTTTAATTACTGAAGTAAACATTAAATTGATTTGTTCTTGAAAAACTATCTTTTTGCCACTTTACTATGGGGATTTTTCATGTATTTGAACCTACCTTTGGCCAATCCTTTAATAGTCTCTGATCACTGGCTAAACATGTTTGTGCGGCATCATTGTCAGAATTTTGGGTTTATTTGTAGCTGGTGGTTAATTGGTTTTCATCTGAATTAACATCATTATTACCTCGTCTGTTTGGGTTGTGATGTCTTAATTTTATGAGCGAAAGCATACTTGGGATCATTTATAGGTTTTGGTTTTCAATAGGCATATGTCCAGCAGCTAGAGAGTAGTCGTCTCAGGCTTACACAACTAGA